TATTCTCCCCCGGCCAGGTCAGCCCCACCGACCCCCTCTTGGCCAGACCTGCTTCCCGCCAGCCCGTTTCCCCCCCCACACACACACACACATCCTCCCAGCCAGCCCTGCTCCCCTCCCAGCTGGTGTTCCTCCCCTTCCCCCCAAATGAGATCAAGTGTGTCCGGTATTTTTTTTTTGAAGCCACCTGGTAACCCTACTGACTGGGGCTTTCTGGCTGGTGAGGGAGCTGCTCCCCCTCCTCAGGTGTATGAGGCTTGGTGTCTTCCTAACCCGTGGCAAGGTGAAATAGGGATGTTAAAATGGGTTTAATTAAGTAACAGAAGGGTTACATGCAGGGGTGGGGAAGTAAGCTGTGCGGGGGGGAAGGGCACTGCTGGCTGGCACTGTGGGGGTTAATGTGGAAAGGGAGCTGCTGCAGCCCACGATCCGGGAGCTGGGCACGTGGTGCCTGATGGCAGCTATAAGGGGCGCTGTGTGCCCCTTATAGCTGCCATCAGGCACCCCCAATAGGTTGGTGCCCCGGGCAGCTGCCCGGCTACCCCATGCCTTAATCTGGCCCTGCTCTAACCTCATACCTCCTTGGAGCATATACACAGAATTTATTTCAAAATAGAGGACTCTTCTTCCAACTTTCCTTTCTCCTTATACAATGAGGGTTACAGGAGTTGGAGTAAGAAGTCCTCCAGCTTGACAGTAATTCAACATTATTTCAAAATAACTGCCTGCTGTGTAGATGCGGACTGAGTTATTTTGAAATAACACTAGTTATTTCAAAATAATGTTGCTTTGTATACATACCCTCAGTTCAGTTTGCTTTTTTAAAATACTAGGAAGTTGTATATGAAAACTACATTAAAAGAACAGTAGGATTATTAATTAAAATACTCACCCTTAATGGCCAGTGGGAGCTGTGATCGCCCCTAGCTGCGGACGCACAGATAAATATAGTGGCAGCGGCCCACCAGGGGCTAACCCTGGTGAACCATGATTATTTTATTGTCCATTCCTGCCCTAAGCACTATTACCTACTCAAAGAGAAGCAAAACTAGTTTTGGGAGGAATGTATTTGACTACCCTTCTGGGATGTCCAGGGTCTTGAACTTAGGCTTAGGAGTCTCTCAACAGCAACTGCATCTCAACCTTCACCCAATGTCTGGTGGAACCTGGTGGGCTGAGAAGCTACTAATAGTCTAATACTATGCCCAGCCAAACACCCACCCACAGCATCTCTGATCGGAGGACTGTTCAGCTCCCTGGCATGGTCCTATTTAAGCTAGAAGGTGGTGCAGGAAGTTTGTCTGAACAATAAGGAAGTTTCATGTTATGGTTGAATTGGGCTCTGCTTGCACCTGTCTCTTGCACCCAACCTATTCCTGATGTGCTCCTGCCTCATTCCTTTCATTGCTTCTTCTGTTCCTGATCCCTGCCTCTCCTGCTCTTAGGCCTTGTCTCCGCTTCTCAGTTACCTGTCTTGGTTCTAGCCCCTGTCTCTGACTTCTGACATTGCCTCTGGCTTGACTCTTGGCTCTAGCATTTGGCATGTGACTTGATCTCTGACCCTTAGCTTTGATTCCAGGTTATGATTCTGGCTTGACACATGACTCTGGTAACTAGCAGTTGGCTCTAGTTCTGAACTGCTTTTCCCCCCTACAACCTGGGTGCCTGTTTTATCTACTAGACCTGACTCTTGCTGTGACTATTAGGCAAGACTACCTACATACCAGTCCATAACAGCTTACTGTTGGTTCTTAAAAGGCTTTGTGATGACTTGACTACTTCCAGCAAAAATGAATTGATTTCAAAAGGAGATGAGTGAATAACGATCAGGATGGACATAGGCACCTGATGAAATGTTTGCATTATACTCAACTGACAAGGAGTTCCAAGCACCCACAGCAATAGGCTCCATGCTGACACTGCAACCCTAATTCCAGCCCAGTGAACAGGTGGTGCTAGAGAGTAAACCTGCTGTCTCAGCAGAGAGGCAGATGGTCAAACCTAATGGTGATCCTGCATGACAAGTCACAATGCAGAGAACTGAGCCCAAACCAGTGGGTGACTTCTGTGGGTTCAGTGAACCCATGATAAAGCTACAACTTATAAGAAAAGACTATTGCGTTTTTAAAATGTATTATTTTTGTTTTCATAAATGTATTTTAATTTAATTTGTGTTTTTAAACATTGCGTTCAAATTGAACAGTGTATCTGAATATTGCAATTTTCTTTCCAAAATTACAGTTGTACAGCTGTGATACCTTTACATCTTTTTTATTATTTAGCAAATGTCCACAAGGTGGTGCCACTGCTAACCAGTTAAGAGTCAAAAGAATACATTTGGTAAATTACATCTGGTTTTTATAACCAATTAAAAATGTATTACATTGGAAAATGAATAGTTAATCTTTTTTATATCTTAACTGCAAATGTCACTGTCTTTACTTCATAAATCATTGTAATTTACCAGTTCATAATGTGTATTTTAAAATAACCTAAAAGTATATCCATGAATATAAGGAAATACAATGGACTTGCAACATCTGCTTGTTGGAGATAGATAGATAGATAACATACAATCTACACACACCACATACTAATACTAGTTATTTAATTTCATTAAATTAAATTAATTTCCTTTAAGTACATTTTACTTGTATAAAATATTAGGAAATATAACAGTAAGATAAGAGCTTACTACAACAGGAAGACAGTTATGTGTGAGTGCACACTCCTATGTGGTTAAGATTATTCCTCATAGGCATCTTAGAAGAAGTTATTCTTGAGAAGGAATTTGACTGAAAAGAGGGTACTGGTTTGATGGACTATATTTGAAGGTATATTCTATTTATAGGGGAATAGTGGAGAAAGGCAAAGAGGTGGCTGTGGATGAAGAGAGTAAATGAGACAGTGAGGCTCATTTGAGTGGAGTAAATTGATTTACTGTTGAGTGGAGTAAGTTGATTTGTAGAGCATAAGATCAAAAGGGACCATCAGACCACTTAATCTGACTTCCTGTACATTACAGGTCATTAAATTTCACCCAGTTATATCTTTATTAAGTGCAATAAATTTAAGTTAATAAAGTATGGCTTGCATTTGACTAAAGCATATTTTCCTGAAAGGCATACAGTCTTGATATGAAGTCATCAAGAGATGGAGAATACACCACTTTCCTTGATAGTTTCTTCCAAGAATTAATTATCTTTAAAATAGGTGCTTTATTTCTAGTTTGAATTTGTCTGGCTTCATCGTTCAGCCATTGGATCTTGTTATGCGTTTCTCAACTAGATTAAAAATCCCATTAGTGCCTGATATTTTCTCCATATGCAGGTACTTACAAACTGTAATTGAGTTCTCTCTCCATCTTTTTGATAAACAGCAACTTTAAGTCTGTCATTATAAGTGAAGTCATTATAGTGAAGCAAACTGGCCTCTCAGAGGGTATGTCTAGACTATATCCCTCTGTCGCCAGAGGAATGTAAATTAGACATACTGAAATTGCTAATGAAGTGGGGATTTAAATCTCCCGCGCTTCATTAGCATAAAAATGGCCGTCGCTTTTTGTCGCTACGGAGCTTTGGCGATGAAAAGCGGCAATCTAGCCATGGTTCTATCACTCACTGAAGCCTTTGGAGACAGATCCTGTATACCTTGTTTTACGAGGCATAAGGGATAAGGGCATAAGCCAATGCTCCCTGGTGACAAAAAGCGGTGGCCATTTTTATGCTAATAAAGTGCGGGAGATTTAAATCCCCACTTCATTAGCAATTTTGGTATGTCTAATTTACATCCCTCTGGCGTCAGAGGGATGTAGCCTAGATATACCCAGAGTGGGAGGAACCCCTCATGAAATCCTGGTAGGAGGAGCTAAGCCATTCTTACTAGGGATGTGAAAGTGTAACTGTTTACATTAACTGATTAGCCTGGGCATCAGAAGGAACTCAGGCTTTTTTTTGCTGGCTATGGCAGAGCTCCTCTTTTCTCCAGTCCCTCCCTGACTCCAACCATGCCCCACTGTCCCTTCCATCACTGGTTTCTCAGCTGGCCAGCTATTGGCTCCAGCTCTGCCTCAGCCCTAGGGAGCCCAGAGCTGCTTTGCAGGGCTGGTCACTGGCAGCTTGGCCCACTGTTGCCTGTAGTGGAACAGAGTCCCTCCTGGTCTGTGGCCCTGTACTGCTCAGTCTCATGGGGGCAGGGCCCTGGACAGGAGAAGTGAAACTTCCATGTGAGCGGATAGGGAAGCTGAGCTGAACAGGGAGGGAGGACTTAAAGTGACAGTGCAAACTCAGTCTCTCTCAGTTCCATAAAACACATCCACACACTAGCATTTTCACTAAAGCCAACCCTGCCACCACTGATACAGGATCAGGTACAACCCAAAAGGGGGGTAGGAAGTGAGCCAGCGGCAGCGGACCCCAAAATGGCTGCAGGACTGCCAGAGATTAGGCCAGCTTGTTGTGGTCTGGATCCCTGGCTATCCCACTGCCAGGGTGTTCTGCTAATGATAGGGCCCTGAGCTGGGATGCAGTGGAGCAGGTGGGCCTCCATCCCCCTTGCTATGTCCAAAGCCTGTGTTGGCAGTCTACCCATCCCTAGGACAAGAAACCTGCATTTGTCAGACATCCACCAGAGCTAGGGAGACTGACCTCTGGCTGCTCAACCCTGAACACAGGGCTGAGCCACAGACTCACTTCCTTAACCTGCCTGCCTAACTGCTTTGCTGCTCAGAATGAATGCAGGCCCAAGCCACAGACTTATTGCCCAGCTCTGCCTGAGGCCCTGGACTATCTAACTGCTTTTCTGCTCAACCCTGAATACAGGCCAGAGCTATAGACTCTTGATGTGCTGCTAATTCCCCATAACAGGTGACACCGCGAGACATAGTGAAGTGGACTGACCTCCCACAAACCTGTAGGGGAAGGTACACCACCGCTGAATCACTACAAGCATTTTCTCCATTCCTTTAATTACTTCTGAGGCCCTTTTCTGCAATCTCTCCAACTTTGTCAACATCCATTTAAATGTGGATGCCAGAACTGGAAGTAGTATTGGTTTAAGCAATGCTGCAAGCAGAAGTAAAATCACCTCCCTATTCTCTTGTTTATACATCCAAGGATCATGTAAGCTGTTTTGCCGCAGCATTTCATTGAGACATCATGATGTACCGTATTTTCCGGCGTATAGGGCGACTGGGTGTATAAGACGACTCCCTATCTTTTTAATTAAAAGATAGGGTTTCATCTTATACCCCAGCGCCCCTCCGCCTCCTTTGCTCCCGGTGTCCCTGGTCTGCTGGAGATGGTCCCCAGCAGACCAGAGGCACACGATTTTTGGGGGATGTTTTTTAACATCAGAGGTCGTCTTGTACGCCGGAATATACGG